AAGACTGAATAAAAATGATAAAGAACTATAAAATATAAATTTTTGAACTTTAATGAAAGAAGTAAGAAAGGATAAAAGAATATATGAAGTAATTGAAAAAGAGGTTATGAGCTGTGAGTATCTTAAGAAAGAAAAAGAGCTTATCATTAATGGAATATCATATCTGGAAATTATTAAGATTTATTCTAGCTTTAATATATCAACAGTTCCAGTTATTGATGTTAATGAAATTTATATAGAAGGAGATGAAAGTGAAATATCAAATAATTTATATATGGAAGATGATTCTAAAATTCAAGGGAAATATACAATAGATGATATCAACAAAATGATAAAAACAGAAGAAAAAGAAATTTTAAATGAACCAGATCCTCAATTGCAAAAAATTAAAGATGCATTAAAAGAAAATGAGTTTATTAAAGAAGAACAAAAACAAATAGTAATTGAAATTACTCAAAGAAGAGAGTTTAAAAGAAAAATGAATGAATTAATAAATCAATATATTCAAAATACACTTAGTTTAAAAACTAATGAAGCTGATAACCAAAAAGTTGTTAATCAGTTAACAGAACAAGAATTAATAAATAAAGATAAAGAATATTTTGAAGTAAAAGAAAATAAACCCCAAAAAATAAAAACTGAAGATGAAATAAAACCTAAAAAAATTCCAAAGAAAAGATTAATCCCCATTAAAAATTTTCAAAAAATTAGAAAACATAATTTAAGACCACGAATACAATCAAGTAAGGCTGTTGATTTTATTGATGAAATTCAAATAAATAGAGTTTCTGATTCTAAAGAATTAATGAAAAAATTTGGTAATTTAGGGAAAGAAACTGATAGAAAATAGTTTTGTGAAATATTGTTTTGATGATAATAAAACTACAAGTTAATTCTAAATAAAATATAAATTTATTTAATCTTCTACTCTAATTTCTTTTGGTTTAATTTCTTCTCCTCCAAAATTATTTTTTACTTTTAAGTCATAAACGTCTGACTCTTCAATTATTGGAAAATATCCAATAATTAAATTATCATTTCGTTTTTCAAATTTTTTTACTTCTTTATTTCCAATGAATACCATTGGAGATGTTCCAAATCCACTTCCTTTAATAGTAAACATAACCCTTTCTTTAATTTTTATGTTTTTTGGTCTAATCATAGTAATTTTAATAGAACTATCCATTAAAAAGTTATTTGTTTTTATTGTTTTTACATTTTGAGTTTGACATTGTTCAATTTCATTATAATTAATTGTTTTAATAATTCCTCCTCTTCTAAATGGATTACCTCTTTTACTTTTTCTTGTTGGTATTGTTGGTTTTTCTTTTTCCTCATTTTCTGTTTGGAGTGTATTGATTATGTCTTGTTTAAGTTTTTCTTCTTTTTTGTTTTTACTGAATAATATAACATTTTCTTCTTCATCAGAACTTTCACTGTCCTTATTAGAAGTGCTATCAGAGTATGTTTCTTCTTCACTAGGATCATCACTTATTGATTCATCACATTCAACTATACTAATTTTATGTTTTGTTCCAATAGTAGATATTGATGATTTCTCTTGTTGATCTTTTGAGACTTTATAATACATAATTGGTCCAGGTAAATCGATTGTTGTTTTATTATATAATAATTGTATATTAACACTAACTTGTCCAGGAACTGATGGGGGGACATTAACTATCATTGTTAGTCCATCAATAGTACAAGGTATTACTTTTTCATTAATAATTACTTTAACATTGTTTGTTGATGTCAAAGTTATTTTAATTGTTCCACCAGTTATTGGTATCATAGTACTAGAAAAACCAATGATTTGTGGTATTGTTTCTCGTAATCCATTTACTTCTTGTAAAATTTTCTCACAAATAACTACTTCATTAATTGAATCAAATACTACATCTCTTTTAAATATATTCATAGTTCTAACAATATTATTAAATACTATTTGGTCTGACTTTCTTTCTGGCTGATCAAAGGAATCAACAAATCCATCAAGTGATAATACTTTTTGTGTTTTAACTTTAACTATTTTCATTTCATCTTGGCACTTCTTAACATCTTCTTTCTTTGGTTTTAAGTTTGATATTAGTTCTTTTATAAATAAGTTTAATGTAGCATATTCTTCCATATAAGAGATACATGAATTAATAATTTGACATCTTAGTAAATAAACTGCATCTTCATTTCCTTGTTTTATATGTCTTTTGTACTTTTCATCTTCAGTAATAGCAATATAAATAAAATCACAATATTTACATAAAGTAACATCTACTATATCTTCATTTTTCTTTTGATATTTCCTCTTTTTTATACATTCTCCACATAACATAGCTCCACAACATTCACAAGTGTAGACAAATGTACCTAGAATAATATCTTTATCACAATTAGAACATTTTTCTGTTTTAAGTAAATTTTTCATGGCATCTCTAATTCCACTACTCTCTCCTTTTTCTGAGACCTTTTCATTCTTTTCAATCTCTTTAATCATTTCCTTCATTTTTTCTCTCCTTAATAATTCATTGGTTCTAAACTCTTTTCTTTGGTGTTCAAATATTTTATTGTAATTCTTTTTTGGTAGACTCAATGGTGCTGGAAGACAAAAAGGATATGCATTTTTATTTATTGATGCTTGTAAAGTTGTCATTGAAAAAATGGTAAAAAAGAAACTAAAAAATAATAAAATCTAATAAAAAAAGAAAAGAAAATGAGTTAAAAAATTTTTTTAAATTTTTAAAACAAAAATAATATTTTTGTGTTTTTTTTGATATATAAATATTATTTTTTAAACTAAACATTATTAAAGGTAATACATACTACAGCTAATTTACTATTTATTTAATTTGTTTGTAGTTTATTTAATCAAATTTCTAAAAGAATCTTTAACAGAATAATCCATAATTTCTTAATCTGAAAAATCGAATTCTAAAGAAAGTAAATATTGAATATTCCTTTATCAAAATATAAAATTCTTGTTAAAACTAAAGCAACAGAACCTTTCCTTTGATATTTTTGTTGAAACAAGTATTAAAATATTTTTCTTAATGACTATTATAGCTATTTTTTTTTAATTATTTATAACTATATTTAGTTGATTATCATAATATCAAATTGATTCCAGTTTTTGTTTTATAGATAAATGTTTAAACTGAAATAATGTTTACATACTAAACTCTATGAAATAAAGAATAAATTTTGTTCAATACAAAAATAAAGATATAATTATCCAATTTTTTTAATAAATATAATTAAATTACTGAGATGTTGAAATATATTTTAAAATTAATTAATATATAAAATAATTTAAATTGATTCTTACCCTTATATTTTGAAGGATTTGATATCCTTTTATTTAACAAATATCACATATTTTATAAAAATTAAAAACACTGGAATATAAATAAGATTAAGGATAACTCATTATTCTTGAATTATAAAAATAAACTATTTAAATAACTATTTATTTAATATTAAACCAATATGAATTAATATTCAGATAATTTACAAATACTATTGTCATAACAATGAATCTTTTTTTATAAAACATATTTAAATATTGTAATTTTGGTTAACTTTAAACTTTGTTTATCAAAATAACATAAATTATTTTAATTAAATTTTAACTTTGCATCAATAAGTAATTTATTCATAACTATCACACAACAAAGGCTATGAATATTTGTATGAAAATTAATACTAAAATGTATATAAAAATATTAATAAACCAAACAATTATGAATCTTATCATACAGTAAAGTTTTTTAAATAACAAAATAGTAGTATTCTTCCTTAGAACTATTTCTACTAATAGGACTTCTTCTAAATAATTAAAAAATGTATATATAAAAAAGAATGTGTATTTATAAGATAATAAATAACTTATAGTAGACATATAAATAATATAAATTTAATACCATTCTTAAGAATAACACTTATTTCATAAGTTAAGAATTAGTATTTTATTTTTATCGAATAGAAGTAATAAATTAAAAAAATAAAAATTCTAAAAATATAACTTGAAATTCAAAGAAAACTGAATTTAAAGGTCAGTCGAACATGATAGGTATAGTTGTCATACTTTGCTTTTTTTTTACTTTGTCAAGTGGTAATATAGGTGTTGCACGATTTGTTTTTTCATTGCCAATTGATGTTTGTTTTGGAATTGCTTCTAATAATAATGGGTATATGATTGTTACAGGAAATGGTTTGGTTGTTTTTAAATGAAAGGTTTAAGTGAGTTTAAACTAATTTTATTAGCTAAATCTTCTATTATTTCAGTAAATAAAACATCATTTGAAACTGTTCGTACAGATGGTCCGTTCAGAAGTTTAACAGAAGGATATACAGCAGTTTATTCATCTTATCTAAAACAGTTTATTGTCTACGGTCGTGAAAGATCTCGGTTTGGAAGATTTTCAGTAACATTAGTAGGTGATTTAATTGATTATGAACCATCATTTTCTGGATCATCAACCGTGTTTGTAGACAACCAAATGTTAACTCTTGGATTTGTACCAAAACTCGGATCAGGATTTATTAAGATATGTCAAATTGATCATATTCCTCGTTTAGATGCACCAATTATTGATAATGCTTATATTAAAGATAATGTTCAATTTGATGAGGCAGGTCATAACAATGATGAATTAACACATCTTGGTAAAGGAGCTGCAACTATATGTGTAAATAATCCAACAACAAATGAATGTA